GCGGCTATTAGTGGGCTCAAATCCAGCCCCCGGGTAAGCGTGGTACCCGCGTACGGGCCCCCCAAATTTTTTCCTGCACAAATTCATAACTCGGGGATCTAAGAAGCTAGGAGGCTGAAATTTTGGGGCAATGGTCCCCGCCCAAGTGGGTACTAGTGGGCTCAAACCCAGCCCCTGGGTAAGTGTAGTACCCACATACGGATCCGCCAAAATTTTTTTCGTGTAAATTGATAACTCAAGTGTCTGAGAAACTAAAGGAATGCAGTTTTAAGAGGATATACCCCGTCCACCTAAGTTTCATTGAGTCCGAACCCAACTCTCAGGTATGCTTGGTAAACATGCACGGGAAAATTTTGTTCCAGTAAGTTGCTAACTCAGGTGCCAGGGAAGCTAGAAAGTTGAAATTTTAAATGGAATGTTTTCTGACAGTTCTGGTGGCCAGTCTTAATTTGTTCAGCTAGAAGCACTTGCTGAAAAAAACGGTAGCGGTAGCAACAGAAACTGCGGGGAACCATGCAAAAAACGCGTCTTCGCACGGGCAGCCCGTGCGTTGACCAATTATTATATATGCTGATAAGTCGTTTAGCCCACGCGTGAATTTATGGATTGTTACAAATCCTAGCATACCGCAGTAGTTGGGACATAATGATGCCATCATGTATAGTAGGGTCAACATCACTGTTGAAGGTGGCTGGCTTGGTTAACCTTGAAGGGATAGTTCATTGTTTTATTATAAACGTCAAACGTACACCGCCCATTTGTACAATGGATGGCCAGATCAACGAAGCAGGCATATTGGCCGGAATAGGTGGTGTTGAGCGTGAAGGTGGTCCCGTAAATGTCTCTGGCGAGGTCGCTGAACTGGGGACAGTCGATTGCTAGGATGTCGTCTATGAAGCGGAAGAAGCATAGTCGTGCAGTGGGGTGTTTGCTAATACAGCGATATTCTATTACGGACAGCGTGAGGTCCGCCATGTCGGGGCTGGCATTTCCGCCCACTGGAACACGTTGTATCTGTCTAAACAGATAACCTCCAAATCTTACGTAAGTTTCTGAAAGTATAGCGTTAAGAATCTCCATTACCTCATCCTTATTATAACAGGTTAGGTCGGTGCGGATTTCATTTGAAAACCAGACCGATCTGTACCCTACGGCCAAATAATCTTTACGTGCACTTGTAAAACACAGATTAATCATGCAACTAATGCTTTTGGTTATGTCCAAACGCGAAAAACTGGTAAAGAGGTTGCTGAAGTCGGCGGAATATATGTGACTAATCCGCGGTGGTAGTGCCTGGAGTCTGTATAACACAGTTTGTGAGTTAGCTACGCTAAAATAAAATCTTCCTACCTTTCGTAATACAATTTTATTGCAATAGTTTTGGAAGTGGATCCTCAGATGTCCGAGAATGCGATGTAGGACAAGTTTTAGTAGCGAACAAAAAATTCTTAAAAATTTTTATAAAATGTAAGTTACTAATTACGACAAATTACAGACTTGCTGTTAAACAAAAATATTTTCTTGAGAAATGAAATATGAATAATACAATGTACTATAAAACATTTTTCTCCATACATGTATATTTGTAAAACGCGAGCTCATTGATTAATAAAAAAGATATCACTGTACCTACGCTGAATTGGAAACTTTTTGCGTAATTATAAGCGCACAACAAAAATGCAGGAAAACATTTGTAGCTAAGCCAATAAATCCAGTCTAAGTGCTTGAGTACTTCTAGTTTACGAGGGTGAAGGCAATTGAAAGTAGCCTTATTGATACTATGTGCTGACAGCAATCATGTTCTGAAGAGGCCGTACGAGAATGCCATTTTCGAGGTTTGCTTAAAAGCAAGTTGATGATGGTTCCCTGGTATGCACTAGTATTAATTTACCATCGAAACGAACGAATGAATTGTATAGAGCGGTCAATCGCTCGTCTGTGTCCCGAATCAAGCGCTACACTGCACTGCATTTTGCACGCAGATAATCGCGAAATCCCGATGATCAGAGCATTTGATGCCTCACTACTTGTCTGATTTCTATGAACCCCACTACGACAAAGGACAGCTGAATGCTGCAGCTGAATCCTATGAAATTTTTTGGCGAGGATATTGTTAACTCGCTGGAAAGCTGAAATTTTAATGGAATGTTTCCTATCTACCACGTAGTCGCACAATTAACTTCCCGAACTCCGAGGGCCAGTACGTCACAAATTCTAGCTGCTGGATTCCTGAGCGATCTTACTACAGCACGAAATATTGCAAGAACGCATGATCGCACGCGCCCACCCCGTGCGCGCCGCCGATAATTCCAGTTTACTGTCTGTTTGTTACCCGAGCCTCACAGCTGAGTTGTTGCGCACACCGTTGGTCTTCGAGCGATTCGGTGCTCCACCGTATTTGACCTTTTGGCTTTATGCCGACTGTTGTCCATTGTTCTTTGTGCACGCCTACGCTTTTGGCGTCGGGTTTTTTATTGTTTGTTGTTTATTGGGGACGTGTGGTCGATGCGGGGTCGTGGTCGCACGTTGGGGGACGTGGGGTTTTTCCGCATGGTTGAGGGGGGTTGCTTGTCAGTTCGGCCACGTTTTGGGGGTTTGGTGTTGCATTGCTGTTCTCACTCACAGCTCCCCTGTTGCAGCGTGGACTCGGCTTCGCGCCAGCATTCAAAATTGGAGCCAGGAAAAGCAAGGAGGTAAGTTCTCGCGCACTTTGCATACCTCACTCTTTTTACCTCATTCCGTCCTGATACCGTGCCTACCTCATTACATTCGGTCTGCATAGGTGAATCCAGGATGGACTCCTGAGGGGGAGGGGCGAGGGGGGAGAGGGGTGGAGCGAAGCGGGAGGGGGAGGAGTTAACGACGGGAAGCATAATTTTATGCATTAAATGAGTTTTCTATGCCAAATTAGATATGTCCAATACATTAGCCTGCAAACCAATTCTCACTCATTCAGATACTAGGAGTTGTTACGTGGATACGTAGAGTTACTTTACTTTTGTTTATAAACAAAGCCAGACTTTTGCAGCAATGTAAAAAACGTGCTTGTGCCGATGGGGGTTGCGG